AGTCCTTTCCCACGTAAGTTGCTTTTATATAGTTGCATTGCTAGAGACTTGCTGCAACCAGGTTTTCCAACAACAAAAATTGGAATTTTATTGAAAATGCAAACAAAAATGACAAAAACGTTTTCTTGAAGCGCCATATTACGAGCAGTACCTGGTGGGAGTCTCATTCGCCTGAGTATGTCAGACTGTTCTTCCTTTATAACAGTATGAATGAATTGATCCTGCTCACCCGGAAAAACATATCCATGCAATTTGAAAACTTCGCCGATTAAACTTCTATATTCCTTCCGTAATCTTCTTTCAGCAAACCTACTTTGATAACAATGGGCCAAAGCTAGTATCATGGATTTAATATCAAAGCTGCAATTTTTCGAATTTGAATTCAATGACATGACTTTTTTAGGGAGAATATGAAGGAACCACTTTGTTAAAATTTTGCATCTGTGGATATCACGAAGACTGACAGAGTAAGACGATTCTTCTTGTTTTCTTACAAAGGACTGGGAAATCGCCAACAGGTTAGTAAACAACTCTTGGTGTTTTTCATTATCTTTAAAAACATCATGTATCATTTGATGAATATAGGTTTCTTCATCTTTTTCGTTCAAACTACCAAAATCCCATATAAAATCTACCATCATTTCAGGCAATGGCAACACTCTGTAAACTAACCTTGACAATTCATCAGATTTCGCTTTTCCTGCTAAACCAGCAGTAGAAAGTGCCTTAGTAGTTCTGAGTTTGTAAGGATTACAAGCACCCATGATAGTTAAATTGGGAGAAAGTTCCTTTCCAAGGCATTTATGGTGACAAATAATGTCAGATATTATCCCTAAGCAATCTGACGTATTTATTTCATCAAGGAATAACCACATTTCTTCGGTCGGCTGTTCTAATGCTTTTTCATTGTTTTTGATAACTTTATCAATAATTTCTTCTTCCTTCACACCTGCATGAATATTCATAACATCGAAATCAACTTCACAAATTGCAGCCAAATATCGAATAAGTGACGTCTTTCCACACCCTGTTTCTCCCATAACAACTACGGGAATGTTTGCTTTAATACGTAACGTTATTAATACCATTTTAAGCAAATTATCGGCAGTTAGCGCGTAGTCTTTTGAGAGTTCTAATAACTCTTCTTTCGGAAGTGGTAACGGATTTATTCTTGCTACCTTCTGAAGCATGAGCTGCAGTTTAACTTGATCCATACATTTAAAATCCTCCATGTCCTTTTTCATCTGACTTTCAAATAGATTTCTAATTTCTTTTGGGACCAGTGACAAATTACGATAAAGTGCAGAGATAGTATGAACATTCTGATTGTGAAAAAGAAACATCAGATGATTGCTGTCCTCCCATCTTATCATGCTATCTACACCACTTGTAACAGAGGATGCTAAATCAGATGAGGTATTTTCTTCAGTGTGAATTGCCGAAATCTGGCTCTCACGACAGACATCTATTGATCGAGTTGCAAAGTCACATGAAACATCAATCATTGCTGTTAATAACTGACTTTTAACAGATAGTTTTACTTTATTTCCAATCATATCAATCAATCTATTTATCTTAAAGAAAGAACTCTGAGACATTTTCTTAAGTTGATCAGATAAAACATTTATGAATGTAAACATAATTGGAAATGAAGTATCAAGTTTTCCTCCTATATATTTTTGCAGAAGCAATTTACAATGTTTAGATGTAAGTGGTTTTTCAGATTTCCCATCAAAGCATATATCTTTGCTATCAACTGATCTATTTTCTAAAGAGTTCAGGTAGTGGCAAACAACCTGTATAGGACTATTTAATTCCTGACTTACTGTCAAATCATTTATACCACTCCATTCTATTTCTTTTCTTCTGAATAATACAGTTGTTTGCAGTGCATTTCTAAGAATGTCATTGATTGTGTTTGCTATTTCAATATAAACAATCGAAGTCTGTAAGCAAACCGATAGTGTTCCAGCTGACACATAACGTAAAACAACAAGCTCAAATAGAAAGGTATCTAATTCTGACGGACTATCGACGTTTCCTAAATCAATATGCAATGCATGATATTGTTTCAAATGTAGGTTATTTATCCTGTCGACTAGATGCATTTTGCGTATCGATCCACTAACATGAAGTGTAACGACGCCTCGCCTCTGCCTATGTGCTTCTGATGTAATAAAGGATGTCTTACCAAGTCCAGGATACACCGAGGTTATAGTGACAACATTCTCGCAATGTTCCTGGAAAATATCTCGAACGGTTTTATTAGTGACTGGAGTGACAGAAGATGTATAATCACTCAATTCATCTATGAACGGATGATTACGTGACCCTCTGCATATTATAGCGAGACAAAATTGCGTTAATTTTGGTAAATTTCTTAATATTTCTACAAGTTTGAACTGAAGTTCGTTGGAAAGATTTTCTACGTTTGCAATACAGAACAGGACCTTCACATTGTAAAAGTCCATTGATCCGAGACACCGCTGTATTATCAATTCTATCTCAGCCAAACTGGTTTCACGTGTACAAAATAGAATGTGATTTGGTTCGGGAAGTCGTTTAGTCGTTTTGATATATAGAGCCAAAACCGTCCTTACAGTTAGGGGACTCCCTTCGTCTAATTGAGCCACTAGTAGCCTGCCAGGCAGAACAATATCACTCATCGTTTTGGATTTATGATTTTGAATATTCCTTTGAAACATTTGTAAACCCTCAAACGATTTATGTAACGATAATCCTATGCAATGAAGCATTTTCTGTTTTGACCAACTGTTCATTACTGATTTTTCATTATCATATATTTCTTTTAATATTTCAGCTTGCATCTCTGGATGAATGAAATGCAAAATAGTTTGAACTACAGAGGTATTTCGACTATTTTCTTCAAGATATGAAAACAAAATATGTATTTGATTCCCTTTTAAGAAATTCATTAGGTAGTGAGTATTCCTTTCTTCCTTTATATCACGTAACCAAGAGTCAAGACTGTGATCTAATTCTTGTTTCTTTTTCTGTAAATCATGCGGCTTGACTACTTCTCGAACAGTCATGAAATCTGTATGTCCAGACGAGTAAAGTGTAAATAGAGTTTCTGTTATGTCGATACAAAGGTCTATGTCGTCAACAAATTTCATCAATTCATCCCGGTTGAAACGATTTTCATTCACAGTCTTCCTTTCTGTATTCATTAAGAGAAGTGCCCTGCTTCTTAGATCTATTAGTGTTGATTGTTTTCTTATTTCTCTTGTTTTATTTTGTTTGTATGATGCTGTGAATGTCGTATTATTTTTAAGTCTATCGATTTGAAAGGATATTAACCCCTTCTGTAAGATGTTTCTGATCATCTCTATTGTTTGTTCCCCTCTATTAGCAACACCATTGTAAAGAGATTTCAAGTTGTGAAGATTTTGTCTGCAGTCTTCAATTTTTTGGGGAACTGATGAAGAATATGCTTTGGAAACTTTTGTTTGTTTCTCCAGTGTTTGGAAGAATTCACGAATACATTTAACGTCTTTTGTAAGTAAAAGTGGATATAGAAACTGTTTAACCTCTATCAATGCAGACACTGTCGACTCTCGCACCTGTTGCTCCGAAATATCCTCTACTGCGTCAATGAGGTTTTTAATATCCTCATCTATAATACTTCTAATGAAGTTGATCAATGTTGTTGATTTTCCCAAAACTGTCATAATATTTACTGTGTCATCGGAGATGTTTTTCACTACAGAAAACACTGTATTTAAGGCTTGTTGAACCTCTTTAAAAGTATATTCATCGGCCGAACCTTGTAATAAATTTTGAAATGAGGCCAATGAATCTGCAAAATCTATGTCTCCTTTCCAGTCTAAGCCAAATACATGAACCACTGATTCCATTGCATCGACTGTTCTTTTGACAGTATCGCTCGAGAATATTCTGTTTAAGCATACTTCCACTTCCTCCTCAATTACAATATGTAGGTAAGATTTTGCAATGTCTACCTCATTTGAAACGTCTGGATTCGAGCCAAACATCTTAATAACCTCCTGCATTTGAAACTCCTCGTCCCTTATTAGCGATTTCCATTTGTCACCATATTCAGTAGATCCAACCTTTTGTAAAATTTTCATAAAAATTAAGCAACTTCTTTCGTCACTATCGTATGTTCTATCACACACCGATGTATTTTGAAAAAGCCTATGGACGGAACGGATCGGATCATCTTCATTGAAACTGTCAATGTCATCTAAATATTTTTGGTACACATGGTCAGACGAAACATTCCAAAAGACCTATGATGAAATTACTTTATAAAGGTACTCGCAAATGTCTGGCAGCTGCTCTATATCTTGCCACATATGGGTATTATTACGGCATTCATTTGCTTTTATAATACCGGTAACAAATCTTTTTTCATTTTCACATATTTTAGTGAGCACATTTTCGAAACCAACAGGAAGATTTGGAGAATTTTGTTTTACATGTGCCAAGACCTCGTGTGTTTTACGGAGTTTATCTTTAACCTCTTTGAACCTATTCAATGCTTCGGACCAATACTGATCGATTTCAGTTGTGTAGAATTCTAGTTCAAGCAACCTTTTCGCAGAATCACGTGACTCTTGACTTTTTTCAAGTTTTTGAACGAATTCAAAGTTAACTTCGTGTGTCTTGAAATAATTACCCATTCTTGAAATGCATACTCTTGCTGCTATGTAGTTTGAATTCATATGTACAATGTCAATGTGTTGGCCAGTACATTGAAATACTGGTATCCAAAACTGATACTTAGCAACAAGATGAAGAAAATTGTCAAAGTCAGAGGATTCCCCAGATTTTATTTCATTCATGTCCAAAAGCATGCACACCAATTTTGCAGCTAAACTGAAAATAAAGTATCGGTGTCTTTTTAATGATTATAACATGGATCTGTAAAATTATCTTATATAAGTTCGTTTGATCAACTTGTCATTAAATGTAACATATTGATGAAATTAAGCACGACTTCCGTATCACAACAATTTTCATTTAGGTGTTTAAAATAATTTATATGCTGCAAATATTGTTACATGATATTTGAAGTAAAAAAAAATGCATGTATGATAAGAAAGAGCCTTGTTTAATTATGTAAGAGCGAATTCAGCATGCATGTAATCATTGCTAAAAAGTTAAAACTATAGTTAAAATACTAGAATTCTATTTTGTTCCTACACATTTATTCTGTTAACATACAATATTCATGTGAGAGAGAGACATTCTATTAGATAATCTGTTTTTGTAAATGACCATAACATTATGGAAACCACATGATTTCAGTGTATGAATTATTTCTTATTTATCATTTTTAGATATATACATTTAAACCTTAAACAGTTCAGCAAAGTTACAGTATTTAGAAATGAAAGATAATTGAATATTTGTATCTTACTTTGTTTCTAGTATCGGCTTTCCACTTTGATCTGATAGATTTTTAAGCACGTCCTCCGGTCTTTCATTTCTTTCCTTCAATGTATGACTTATATAACATTCAAATATAGTGCCTATATCTTTGTTCTCGTCTGAAATGATATCTATTGCTTTCGTGTGCTTCAGTAACTCATTGAGTCGATATTTGTCGAGTTCTTGCAGAAGAATGTTCTTAAGAACTTCAATTTGCTTGCCAGATTGTGGAAGATTTTTTAGGTTCCAAAGTCTACAAAAGCGTGTGAAAAAACCTTGGAATTCCTGGCCCCTTTCCATTTTGTAATGAGTATTTCCAGTGAGATAGTTAAACGAAAATCTTTGAAAGGCATCAATTTCTATAAAATCAAAAACATTTGCAAATTCTTCATTCTGCAAAATTGTGAAAAATAATTCATGTATGTTTTGATTATGTGATACCATAATGATATGTAGAAATTTTCGCTTGTCAATCTCGTTTCTGAAAAAGCCAAAGTCGATAACAAACATTGCAACAATATCAGTAGAGCATTCAATTGATGAAGGAAGGGCCTCTAAGATGATAAGCAATGTTTCTTCAAATTTTGTCTGAAGCTGCTTATATGCTTTAACACTACTTGTTATTTTTTTCCAAAGGTCGTATAAGTTTGGAATATTTTTGTCTTTTTTAATTGCTCTTAATTCTGTATCTATTCTTACTTGAAATGCAATAGACAGCACATTTTGTAGATCTGTCTCGTCTGCTGACATCCCACTAATGTTGCTTAACATTTTTGATACAACAAATAAAGTCATATTAAATGAGAAATGTCTCAGAAGTATATCAAGAGCGTCTCGTGCTTGATTTGATGACTCTTGCCTTGACGAGTTGTACAATTTATAACAAAATTGAAGTGCATGGTCAAATATTGACTCTTTATCGCGTGCAATAATTGTGCGTGTTTTGACATAATACTGGAGTCGATCCAAAATAAATGTGTCATCATAAAAGGGACAACAAGTGTTAAGATATTCGACCACACACATTTGTTCTCCGTACAAAGTCCAACATAGTGCAAAGCAAACATTTTTTACGTACACTCTGCAGGAAGCATGAAAATCTCCTAATCTAAAGTATCTTAAATTGTCCAACAGGCTTTTAATTGTTAAGCGGGTTAATGTTTCTCCTTGTTCTAATTGTTGAGGATTTTTCAAAACATTTCCGATGGCCACAACAAATAAAAGTTTTGTTTTATTTGAACCTGATGGAAGAAACTGTTCAAATTCTTTCAACAGACGCAATGCATTCATCTTCGGTAGGGATCTTTCACACAACTTTTCTATTTGATTGCAGGCATCATTTATAGAAATGTTTGACTCACAATGAAATAATATATCAGTCAAGTGTGCAGCCAGGCATTCCTCATCATATTTGAACGGATCTTGTATTTTCTGTCCTTGACGCATCCAGGAATCCCTCTGTAAAGTTTTTTCATCTACATGGTAGTTCCTACTTCTCACTGGAGGAGTTCCCATCAAATTTCCCTTCACATTAAACAAGCTTTCACTTTTTAAATGACATATATAATGGTATGAGAAATTTACTTCTTCTTTTGGTATATTAACCGAATATTCATACATTTCAGGACCATGCCGTTTCATAATAGCTTTAAGATATTTGCTGTCACTTTCAATTTGAATTCTTTTAACAGTCCAACCTTTTGTGTATGGGTAGTATAATAAAAACGTCTTCATAACAAATTCTCCCTGAAAGAAAATACTTCCTAATATCAAAAGATGCTTTTTATAATATATATATTTAACATTTCTATCTTGTGCAAAAAAAAACAAACATGCATATATCGTTATCACATTATATAAATGATGAAACGCCCCCTGTATATTATTCGCATACTCTGTATGATAAACATCTTGGCTGGCCAACTAGAGTTGAAATAAAGTATTTGGGTTGGTTTTGTGTATTTTCCGTATAACAAGAGATGTTTGTAAAACATTCATGCCCCCTCGTCAGCATGTCGGAAAATTCTTGCAATTTTGCTAAAAAACAGTTTTGGCAGGCAAGGTCAAAGTAACCTTGACCATTGAGTCGTCGACAAAAAAAAATTAAGGGGTCATCAACTGCCCGGGACAAAGTTGCCCCGAACTCTATCACTTCGACACAAACATCAATAGGGATCATCAACTAATAAAGATTAATGCACTTATGAAGCTTGAGGGCAGACAGCCGATATGTACCTAGTTACTGGTCGGAACTCTTTTGGACAGGCAAGATCAATGTGAGCTAAAACTTTGACCCATTGACAGAAACTAAATGCGTATCAGCTTGCAAAGATCAATGCGCTCGTGAAGTTCGGCACTTCAGCCTAACATCAGTAGGGTCATCTTCTGGAAATAACCAATAAACATGCCAAGCTTAATGACGAAGAGCCATTGGATTATCTTGAGGAGTAAGCAACTGGCCAAGACCTGTGAGGGCCCATGAATTGCCTAGATATTGGTCTAAGGCTGTTAAGACATACAAGTTTAATGTGACCTTGTCATGTGACCCTTTGGCACGCATATGTGGGCCATTTACTGGCTTAGGCTAATGTTTATGTGAAGTTATAGAGCGAGCGAAGGGTATATGTGTTGTCGAGAACAGTTTTAATAGAAAAAGGTTATTAAGCCCTTGACCTTTTACCATGTGACCAAGTTCACGCCATGCATCAGAGATTTAATGTTGTTAAGCATGGGTTATGACAAATATACAACTTCACTAAGGATATGTTGCCTGCTTTTTAACTTTGTCTTTTAACGCATAATCTGTGATATGAAAGCTTCATAACCTCTTTTCCTCTAGCAAAATTTCATTTTGTTCAGCTCCGCTTTCGGGCACACGCATTTTATTACTTGGGGACCAGACGTCGCTTAACTGTGTCAAATTGAAGTTCCATGATAACCGCCGTATGAACACAACTGCGGATGTTTCAAAATTCAAAAATTTACCGTTACATATTTAAATATTAAATTCTGCTGAAGCCGGTGCTAGAGGACATGGACGGTAGTTTACAATAGACAGTACCGTCCACGGACAGGCTAAAAGACGAGCCTGTAACATTTTCAATTTTGCCGTGTTGAACTTTATTTGGGGATTCTTATTTTCTCTATTTTACAATCTGTAAACATGTAAAACTTTTGAAGCGATGACCATACGTGCAATATAAGATTTCTTTTCAAACAATGAAAAACGGTGGTCATTTAAGTCAATGCAAACATGTATATCCCATTGACGAGAACATGATTGGAAGATTTACATTTGAAGATTAATAACTGTTCAAAAATCTGGAAACCTTTAACCAAATATCATTTGTGTGTCGGTGACGGTTGACACCGACTCATAAACAAGAAACCCACCATGGCCCATTATCACCAACCTAACAGCAATAGTAATTCAGAAGCCAGAAAAAGGGTCAAATATAATTATTAACTTCAACCTCAAGAGTTTTATTTTTTAGTAAATGTCCGACAGGAAGTGCTACACGACACTTATTTAATTACTTTGCCTTGTCATCTGACATAAAAAGTTCCAATAAATGATTTTTCCTTCTTAATTCTATAATCAACAGGCGACAAAAAGGGCATGATCAATTTTGTGCCCATTGAAATCTCTAAAAAGTTTTACAAAGCATTAGGTTATGCTTGGTCTCAAATTTAAATTATCAACTATGACCACTGAGCATGCTACAGCCAAATATTTCATTTTTGAACATAGTTGTTTTGGAAAGAAGAGATAGGCTACTTTAGCACAAAGAGCATGATTAAGATACTTAGTTTTTTTATTTACTAGGACATGTCAAATATCAATAGTTGGACAGAAAGTTTGATAAATTAAAGAATTCGAAAAAAGTGTGTTCTTCTGTTCTATATAAACTAAATGAAATGATCCCCGAGACGAGGCAATGTTTATCCTAATGATACGATTTATACAACTAAAGGATGATTTAAAGATATTGATTTAGAGAAAATATTTAAGCTCTAAGCTACGAAGTTCAAAAGAAAAAGGTTTTTCAGTTACAAAAGGACTATTACAATGTTTTGCTATGTGCCTATAGAAAAGCAAAGAGTTTTTTCTCGATAGAAACATTTACTAGTTTTCAAATAAGGTAAATCAACTTACTTTTGTTGAAGATGGCAATTGTTGCTCTCTTGATTCGTACGGATATCCACCGGGTGGCTTTTGAACTTTACTGTCAATACTCGTAGTGTCTGTAGGAGTTATTTTGCTTTTTGACATCGAATTGGAAGATTCAATTTGAGCAACCATCTGGCTCACGCTGCTGATATTCTGCAGCAAAATACAAAAGAGCTTACAAGAAGATGGTTATTGACAAGCCTATTCGTTGAGTTGAGTTGATATTTACATCGTATAATACAAATCATTTACAAATGCGTCTTAAAATTTTGACTGTTGAATAACATCCAAATATTATAATGATACTAAGTCGATACAATCGAGTCGTGCAAAGACACCGAACATCTTTTTTAGATATTATGATATAATAATAAAATTAGTATAGCACTATGAGATGTCCTTAAAATTAGCATTTTGTATCAAACCAGGCTCTAAGAACCTTTTTTAGACCAAGGAGAGGATGGGACAATGGCACATGTACATAGAAGTTACATTCCGGAAACATTTTAACTTACGGGAGATCTTTCACAAAATAGGCAGGGTGAAGTCATCATTCTTGAATAATGCAGGTTTCCTTTAAGGTATCTTTATCTGTATTAAGTTTAAATCTGGACAATAGTGAGACAGAAGAATATAAAATGTGGCAACTATATGCACTCCCTTGGGACGCATAAAAATATGAAGGAATTGGTTCTTATTCTTGTGCACGGTGCTCGTCCTATATGTTATTTTTCAACCCATAAAGTTGATATTTATAATTAATATTTAGTTTTGAGATATAATGAAAAGAACTGAATTGATCTCTGGTCGATGTCATTATACCATACCATAAATCTCTTATACCACCGTTGTACTCTTCTTTATTGACCAAGTCTTCTCCGTTGAATATATGAAAAACTAAATTATTGTGTATCAAGCTTAGTTTATTCGGTTATGTATAATTGGAAAAGGAATTTTTCTCTGAAAAGGAATGTAAAAGGTTTCACTCTAAAAACAATTTTCTTTTTTATTTAAGTCTAATGTGCAAGTTATCCTTCATAAAATTTAACATAAACAATACTTACATTCTTAACAGGTTTGCTCTGTTCGTCGTTATTTTCATTTCTGAAAGAAATGACAGGGTTTTTAAGTTAACACTTATGTCTTGCTTTTAACAGGTGTTTGATATTCCAATATTAATGAATTGTGACATTTTGAAAATCCTTATCCAAACAAAAGAGCCATGATTGCCAAGGATCGCTAACCAGAGAAACATTGAATCTTCCATGCTTAAGTCAGTTATTATGTCACTTTGTGTTCGTTTCGTTTTACCCAAGCTGTATAATTGTCGCAATTTCTGCAACAAAGTGCTGATATTGGATGAAATGTCATAAAAACGTTTTTATCTGTTTAGCTCTGACGGACATCTTGTTTAGCGAACTGGAATTTTCTGAGCAGTATTTGTAAAACAAAACACACACACATATACACGCACACTCAAGCACGCGCACAAGCGCACGCACACACACAAAACAAAAAATAACAGGGTCACTTTTGACCAGCAATGTAGGGTGTCATTTAAAGCCTATTTCCATTTGTAAGCTCTATTGACCATATCGTTTAACATGTCTAATCATGGACCGGAAGCATTAGTAGGGAACGAAATGACTTTCTAAAGATCATTGTTGCATATTTTCATCAAAATCTACAAAGTGGTTCAAAGAGGTCGTTTAAATTTTCTTTTTTTAGCTATGTCTGTCATTTTATTTTGATAAGCCAATCCATTTCAGCTAATTTAATAGAGGTCAGCTTATGTACCATACCTTGGAAATTTCCTTATTGACCAAGCACTTTAATTCAAACAAACTTTTACCAACGGACACCAGACAACTTATGCCAAACATTTGGGTTAACAAAAGCAATTGGGTTAACAGTATGAGCACTTTGTGTTCTAATGAGCTAACATAAAAGGTTACCTGTCACATTCTTCTTGCTCGCAAAGTTCCAATTTACATTTCAAATATATATTCTTTGGTATCCAGATGTGGCAGTTTATTTTCGTATTTAAGCTCAATCCTGCTATAAACTCCATTGACTTATCCATGAAATAGTTGGACAACCATTCGGAGAATGCGTTTTTCCTGCCCAAAAGATTTTCATATATGGTTTCAAGTTGGGCTTCGCTTTTTACATCAAGTCTTAAGTATACTAAACCATTGTTGAACAGGACATCTACTACGGCAATGAACGAAAGATCTTTTGCTTGTTTAAGACATCCTTGGAGAATTTCAATGTTAATCTTCAGATCTTTTGCAATATCCTCTTTTGATTTTTCTGTTATCAGCCCATTTTCTATCTGCATTGCCACCGGCAAATCAACACCTACGAAAAAAACATTACAATTTAAATCACGGAATGTTTGCTTTAGAGAAAAATATAGATTAATAGATTGTCTTTATTTTATTTCATTTCATTGATACAATGTTATAGAAGTGAATAAAAGCTAAATATATAACGCGTCAGAGGTTACAACATATTTAGATTAAACTGATTACGAGACTTTCTGTAGTATTATTCACAAGACGTCAACGGGCGATTAACGTTGACAAGTAAAATTTCCGTTATATATTACCGTTTGTCACTCTTATTAGCTCCTGTACAGACAAACATACATCGCTAAACAAACAAGAGGTCATTATAGGTCAACTGATTATTCTATAGCAGATTATATATGTTTTCTTTTTTGCTTAAAACTTAAATACAATGATTAAAAACACACATTATCAAATAAATAATTTAATTTCAATGCATTGTCCTTATATGAAATTATGTTTAATATTATATTGTGCAACTTATATCCTCCCCTGGGGACTAAACCCTAAAATCAAAGTGATCATGCATTCCCCAGTTTTAAGGACTCCTTACTTGTTATCACTAGAGCTATCACCAAAGGTAATTAATACCCCCTCCAGCAACCTTGACTTTTTGGAAATTAAGTGGTTTGAAGATTGAAAATGTTTAAGTCAACCTATAATTTATGAAGTATCAACTGTGTACAAATAATTCTGAAATAATGTTATCCTCAAGAAACCCTTTTTCTATATTTAGTAACAGTGACCCTCAATCCAAGGCAGTGCAACAGCAAATTGGCCCGTCAGTCTTCATATAAGCTTGCTAAATACCAAGTTTGATAACAATATATCATACCTAACTGTAGTTATAGTCCATTATGAGGGAAGGTATTTTAAGAAGTAATGTACTTTCACTATATATATTTAAGAACACTGTCATAATCCCTGACCCTGGGGCCATGAATTTCACAAAAGAGAAAAAAAAAACAAAACAACACAACCCCTGACTCTGAGGCCATGAAATTCGCAATTTGAGGAAAGACATCCTCTCTCATCAGAACTATGCATTTTCCTTTTTAGTTTCCTAATTACCAAGTGCAGAGGATTCAACAGAGTTCGCCCTAGCACCGAACCCCTTATCCGGGGCCATGAATTGAACAATTTTTGCAATGGGCTCAGTACACCGACAGTTTGAATGATTGATGTCCAAGAGTAAAGAAGAAGATTTTTTTTAAAGATTGCATTAAATTTTATGGGTTTAGCTTCAACCCTCAGGCTCTATGGAGCAGGGGCCATTTTAATAAAATTATATATTTTTTGTTCCCTTCACACATAGATGATTCATGCCAAAATTGGTTGAAATTGGTTCAGTGGTTCCAGAGAAGAAGCTTAAAATGTTGAAATATTGATGCTCGAGGCATGATGCACAACGCACGACTCATGACAACGAACAAAAACTGATAGCAATAGGTTTACTCAGGTGACCTAACAATTGTATAAGCATTTTTATCCGAATTAAACAATACATTTCGTTGACAAGAGGCAGTTATCAAAATATGCCTCAAAGTACATTGTATATGTTTTAATGTGTTAAAAACTCATAAGCAATGTTTATTGAACACCATAATTTTGTAACTTAATGTTTTAAACAATGAATTCAAAATGTCTTTACTTTCTAATATATAAGATGTCTCGAAATTCGAAGAACGCTATCAACAATCAACAGCATTTACGGATAACAACGACAACAGGTAATAACCCAACATGACATGATGACATGAAAAAACTTAAATATTGTGTGATGTTCTTGTGCAACAATAAGGAAAGAAAAGTTGATTTAAAATTTTAAGATAATAAGTTGAATACAGAGCCCAATTTAAGTTTCAGTTTCTGCTGTATATGGTAGCATGTTTTTCCTGGATACTCTGGAAGACATATCGGATTATGTAAAAGCTTACCAAACCGTACATAATTGAACGATATATTCAATTTGCATCAATTGAAATACTGAACTTTAACTTACAAACTAATTTTTGTAACAAATTGAGTAAGAATTCTTAAAATAACCAGTATATAGAAAGTATGTTTATCTTTCAGTAGATTTTATAAAGAACTGTAAGTAATTATTTAAACTATTAAGGATGTGTGGGTTGCGTGCGTGTGTGCGTGCGTGTTTGTGCGTGTGTGTCTGTGTGCGCGTGCGTCCGTACGTGCGTGTGTGTGTGTGTGTGTGAAAATGAAAATAACTCAAGTTATTTTTAACAATAAATAAAGGACAAATATATAACAAATGTAGCAATTGTGCATTCAAAATCTCTGACTCGAGACAAGTGAACTTGGTCTTAAGATTACTTATCTCTTCCCAGAGCCTCCTATCTGATTCCCATGACCCTTTGACTTTGTGGGCCTATTGTTCAATCATTAATTTTTTTCTTTGAATTTCTTATCAGTTACGAATTATTTATCATTTCAGTAATTAGCCTGTCCGTGCTTTGCTTGTGCCCTGTCTTGTTTTTGTTTCGGGTCCTCCTGCTCCTTGCCACTGGTTCTTCTTGCAGGGTCGTGTGGGGGTTGTGTTCATTGAACGCCGCCTTTCCTTGTTGATCTTGTTTATCATATTACATGATTTAAATGTAAAATGTTAATATTGATCAAAGTCGAGTTTCGAACTTTTGAAAATGGATACTATTCCTCGAATAACTTTAAGTGATTTTACAAAAAAACGACTGAAGCGGAGCATGAAGCTTCAAATGGAATTAAATGCAACAAAAAGAGACTTTCCATTAGCATGCAGTTAAGAAAAAAGTAAGGTTAATTATTCTTGATTTTTTTATGAAATGATTTTTCTTTTCTTTACTTATTGGTTTAAACATATTTTTATTTAAGTTATATACACATGTTGATAATTTACACATTAAGTCAGAAAGGAATTCGACCAAGAGATGCATTAGCTCATGATAGTCCTCACATTTATTAAAACCTATCTTTGGTAGTTTAGCGCGGAGGAAGGTAGTCTAGTACTGGTGTAACTCTCCAGGAACGATGGTTAGGAAACTACCCGCCTATATGACTGAAATACTGTTGAAAAAGGCGTAAAATGAAACAAACAAACAAACAAACAAATTAAAACCTATACCTACATGTAACACTCGGCTTATCATAATTATAATAATACCGTTTAATGTGAAATAGTAAAGATTAGTTCAAAGATATTTGCAAATATGTCAGCAATTGATAGATAATTTAAATTAGTGTAAAAGATAAAAAAAAGTGGAATATGCAAACGTTTTTAAAAAATAATGTATCTTTTACAACCTTTGTGGTTAAAACGGGGCCAAATAGTTTTTTGAACACTATGTTGTATAATAAATAGTTTATGACATGTAAGAATATTATAGTCTCTTAAAATGTTTTGACAGTGGCAAAAATGCAGTGTTGGAGTCGGAGTAGGTAAATCAGCGTCTCCAGAATAATATGTTAAGTTGAAGTACAAAAATTTGAAAGAGTATTTGAACGTTTATGGACATATTTTGAACAATTAAGAAAACGAAACTGTAAGTATTTTTACCATTCACACATTGACACAGTGGAGACTCGGCAATATTCTTATCGAATAAATCAGATGCAAGAAATCTACATTTAGCTCGTAGTCCAGTATGCATTACGGCTATTTTGTCTTTTCGCTTTTCAAGATCAGTTTTAAGCCAGGGGGTCATTCTCGCGTGCCAGTATTTTTCATTTTAAAAAACATTTAAATTAACAATAATACAAACGGTCAAAGCATGGTATAATTTCCTTCATCGACTATCCAATAGTGACAATAGAAAGAGAAAAGAACAAGAGGGCCATGATGGCCCTGATTCGCTCACCAGAAACAACTGCTTTTCAGTGTTTGAAATTATTTTTTCAAATGAACTTGCTGAAAGGCAAGTCAAGCTCTTTCGGCAAGTTCAGCTCAACTTAAATTAGCCGCTCTATTAACTTTCACAACAATGCTTGTTTTAGCTTTTTATTCTTCATAATAAACAATAGGGCCAGTAATATGGCCCTAGATAAGTCATCTTAGTACCCATCATTTCATTATTCACTATATAAATTGAAATATTTGCCCTTATATTTTAGAAAGGCTTTGTTAAAAATATGTATGTTGCAAGTGTGTTCCTGTGAGACTATGTAGAATAAATAGAAAATAAATGTCCACTATAGCAGAATTAATTTTGACTGGGCATTTTTTAATATAATTTTTTGAATGAAAACACAAAATGTCACATGCAAAACATGTTACATGTATATGTTTACAGTTTGGGACAACAATTTTCTTAAACATTATATCTGGTAACATTACTGTGCCTGAAAAAAGACAATAGGTCGAATATTGTAAAAATATGAAAAGCAGGCCAGCAGATATCAAAATTCAATTCAGCATAAGAAAATACACCCCTAGTCAAAATTTCAAGTCTGTATGTCAAACAATAGGGCCATGATGGCCCTGAAGTCGCTCACCTGGTATATAGGCCCCCAAGCGGGGCCAGTTTTAAAAACCCCGGGCTTTTTTT